CATTTTTCGGATGGGGTCAAGCTCAGCAATGAACGCCATGTTCGTTTGGGCTTGTTTGGCTGATAAGTCATGGCTGAAAGTACTATTGGTTGATTTGGTGTGAGAGAAAAATATTGTTCGTTGGCTGAAAAAGTCCGGCTTATAAGTCAAACAAGCCTAAACGAACAGGGCGAAATTTATTGCTAAACTAACATTGTACAGTACGAGAGAGTTGTAATAAATATGTCATTGAGTTCAGTCCTGTAAGAGAGTTACAATAAATAGGACATTTCTCTCAGATTATTTTATGCTCTTGTGCAGGGATTTTAGATGGAGATGAATCGTGACATCAAAATTTGGTTCCTTTCTGGTTTGTTGGTCCCTGCTACATTGCTCCATTTTTCCATGCCAGCTGAGTTGTCTCTCGTAAGGGTTGCATTGCTTTTGTTGTGGTGTGGTTGAGTGATTAGCGAGCGATTGTTGATCCGCAGGTGCAACCTGCTAATTTGCTGTCATTTTGATTGACAACTTGATTTCTGTAATATGTGATTGATTTGGATGGTTGGTTTAAAATTGAGTGAATGCTAAGAGGTTGTCTTATGTGTTCTCTTTTTAACTGAAATGGCAAAGCTCCTGGATTTTCATTTAAATGAAATATTTTTTTAACTTCTCCTACAAGGGCTCTTTGTAATTTTATCTCACATGCGAAACTTCCTAATCAATAATGCAAATATAGATAACTTTGAAACTTCCTGATTTCAAAGATGGTCATCTTGTGTTCTTCCGTAATCATAATCAGTAGAACCGAGGAGGCACAACAGTTTTCTATTTGGTCATATTAGTCAAAAGTTTCTTGTTTGTAATAACAGATGTTCAGGTATACAATTTTGCAGGATTTGCATGTTAACTGTTATGCATTATCGTCACAAGCAGCTTCCCTGCACAGTGATTTGCATGTTCAGGTATACCATTGTACCGGTATCAAATGGATAACCTGATCTTTACTCCTTTATGGCTCTTATCTCACACAATTTTGTTTCATATAGTCACGTTATTCTCAACCAGCATTAACATCGTCAAGTTTGCCTTTAGCTGGGGATTGGAGTGTTTCCGGACCTTAGATCCTAGGCAGATAAATTTGGACCTCAGAGGGCAAGGTTTTTCAGATTAACTTTCCAGCAAGTGGGGCTATTTAGTGGCGCCTCCATCAAGAAATCTTTCAACACTTTAAATTCCCTTAATGTACTGGCAAGGATACTATGTGTGTTCAGGTAGGCTTTCTCTTATTTCTAGCGACCTTCTTTGCTTCAGCCAGCACCAGGATTGTCGGTTCCCCAGAATATCCAGGACTAAATCCTTATTTGCAGTGCATGTAGGTTCTTCTTTGTTCTAATATTGTGTATTATATAATATCTAGATATTTAGTCATGAAAAATAAATATGAATTTTATTATAATTGAATTACGGGTGGTACATCATCACGATGAATAGTTATATTTTTAATTGACGTATTATAAAGTATATCATTATTGCTATTTTTGTATGATTTATCAATCACACATCAATCACAATCATAAGCACGTGCATGGCTACTAGTATAATATAAATATATTTATACTTTCCCCCAATCCATAAATTCGCATGAGTGCGCAAATTGAAAGGATTAACAGGTCGTTCATGGTTGTACTGCCCAAGAGGCCAGGAGCTGTCTCAGTTGATTCCTTCCGGCCGATTTGCCTTCAGAACTGCAGTGTCAAGATTCTATCCAAAACTTCAACCTGCTGATGACAGAAAGAGATTGGGAATTGAATTGACCTGAAGCATACAGGATTTCTGCAGGGCCGGTCCATCTCTGAATCTTTTATATGTGCAGCTGAGATTGTTCAAACATGATATAAGAGGAAGATTCTAACTATTGTGCTTAAGCTGGATTTTGCAAAAGCATTCGACACTGTCAACTGGCTCGGATTGGACCGTATTCTAGCTGCTCGAGGCTTCAACTCCAGGTGGAGAAGATGGATATGCGGGTGTATTCTCAACTCCTCGAGATCTGCTGTTCTTGTTAATGGAGTCCTAGGGCCATGGATTTCGTGCAAACGTGGATTAACCGATTAAGGTAGGGTGACCCCATCTCGCCATACCTTTTTCTTCTACTGGTCTCTATTTTGCAGCACTACTTCAGCAGTACTTTTCAACGAACGAACGATGCTTTCATCTTACAACAAATCAGCATAAGTCAAATTTCAGCGAAACGAATAGGGCCTGACACCCTACAAGCACTCATTAAAAGACTTTCAAGCACCATCAGATATCCAATTGACCAGGCGTCAGGTGCTGTGACCCTGCAGTACGCGGATGATACCTTAATTGTCCTAAGAGATGAGACCAGTGGAGTCTCTAAGCTCAAGGAAGTACTGGACATGTGTTCTCCAATGCAGCTGGCTTAAAGATCTGTAATCAGAACAAGCGACGGAGCAGGAGCACTGGCCTGCCGCACCCGAAACCCCGTGGGTAGGCCGTAGGCAGGAAGGGGAATCAGTGACGGTGACTCGGTGAGTCCGTCCCGCACGCCACGCCGAGCGAGTCGTTGGTCTCGGTCAGCCGATGCGGGACGGTCCAAGCACGTACGTATACTATTCTACCTTCCCGGGAGGCAGCCGGCAGGGACGGAGACATGGGGTTTCCCGCAGGATTCCAGGCAAGACGTGCACCCGGCGGCACTCCGTAGCAAACTCAGCGTGACGCGAAGCCTGACTTCATCAACAGGCTAAATAGGGGCGTTAGCGGTAATCCATCAGCAGTCGTCGCCCTTGGGTTTGTTTGCGTAGCTAGCCGCCACCGCCATCTCGAACGTTTGTGTTGAACCACGCCGTGTTGCCGTGTTGGACGACCAAGTCTATGCAAACTCTGAAGACTTCACCCTGACTGGTCACACGTGGATTGTCCACTTCGTTCTCTCTCTTGTTTATCTATAGGGATTATTATAATTAGCCGGATTTTTATTAATAATATAAGTGATAAGTCCACTTGATTCGTCCGTGCACATAGGATTAGGCAATTTTTTATTGTGCAGAAGAGGTGGTTAATTTACGAATAGATATTAGGCCACGAGATAATCAAGTAATATACATCTTTTTTTTTTGAGAAACATATACATCTAATTTATTGCCACAGTGTGTTTTAGTGAACATGTGCTTACTAATCTTCTTTATTTCAAAATTTCAATTCTAGTAATGAAATATGTGTCATGGCACGGTCACAAAAGATAATGAAGCTTAACTTAAGCTATTTCCACAATATATAATAAACAAGAAACTTAATAGATCTAATGGGTATTTATACTAGAGTACTGATTTCATGGCTGTTATTTCCAGTTTTTAGCATTTTTTAAAGATCTTTTTCTTTAACGCGTTCAGTGAGGATCAACATGGATTCTCCGATTAGTAATAATAAGATGCTATTACAGTTTTTTCTAGTTTTAAGATATGCCATCACTATTTGCATACCTTGGTGAAGATGTGAGGTAGCCAGTATCTTCCCACCGAGTGGGCCCACCATATCGATGTGCAGTGATGGTGTACTAGACCCTCATGGTGGACGAGTCATGTCTAGAGGTGAAAGATATAGATGATGAGGGTGTGGAAACCTAACACCAAGGCCAAGCATGTGGTTGGGAGAACAGATGAGGAGTGCCATAGAATGTACGCTCATAGGGTGCGTCAAGCAAAGATAAGGACGTTCACAATGCGAAACAAAGCTATCTAAGAACAAAGCAAACACACCTATTGTGTGAAGCCTGGAGCTTCGTGGCTCAGATCAACAAGAGAGAGTGGAGTATGGAAAAAGAAGATAGGGGCAATATGGGGCCTGCTTGGAACTTTGCTGGCTCACCTTGCCTGGCAGACACAGGCTAAACTAGCTCGGCAAAGCAAGGTCAGTGTTTGGTTTGCTTGCTTGTATAGTGCTAACAGTGGGTTCAATTTGAGCTGATAGCGAGTTGGAGGCAGCTAGTGAGCTTTGCCTAAATGGGAGAGCCAATTTGGCTCGCCTCATGGAGCAAGGAAATCCTTGTTAAGAGCGAGTTTGCCAAGCGAAGCGAGCTTTTCTGCTGCCACCAAACCATGCACGTCCTTGGTTTTGAGGGAAAAAACATGTAAGAGGTACGACATATTCCAAAGACCTATGTTATCGCAATAAAACGTTTTGAAAAGCACCATGTAATAGTATATTTCAAACCCGGAGATATACTTTTGGAGATATATTTCAAACGTTTTTGTTGACCGTCGGAAGAAAGGTTACCAGTTACCAGTTTATCACGAGCGGAAAGTGATCCCCGACGGTGACGGCCCGACCTAAACTTCTCTTCGAGTTCAACGCGTGCAGTCAATAACGAAATCATTATTCTAAGTGGCGTTAACCTCTAGTATGTGCTTATTGCTCAAACTTTATAGAGCACTCTAGACTTCTAGAGCGAAGACCCCATCTGGAGCCCTGACTTCCACTGAGGAGGCATGGAAATGGAATTCTCCCCGACCGACACTGAGCAAGGACGCTAATATAAGTGATAAGTCCATTGATCTTCCTGTGCACGTAGGATTAGGCAATTTTTATTGTGCAGAAGAGGTGGTTAATTGCTCGAATAGATATTAGGCCACGAGATAGACTTCTATAGCAAGCCCTGACTTCCACTGAGCAGGCATGAAGAATTCTCCCCGATCGACACTTTAAAGGACGAACCGTCCAGATCACTGCTTTGCCGACGGAAAAACCACGCACTAATCCAGAAAATTAGAAGCTTCGCAGCAATCACCTGCCAGCAAAGCATAACGGGCGCCTACCAGTCAAAGGTAGCTCGGGATACAAAGAACTGGTGGACTCCGTTCCCGCCGCCGAATTTGCTTACCGGAGCAAATCGGCCTCCCTATCCACCCCACCACAGACCCCACCGGCTGCCAAACGCGGCGGCCGCGCGCACCAGTCAGCACAACCAAACGCCCACGCCACCGAAGCCGGCGGAGACAATGGCACCACCGTGCCGCGCGTACCCACCATGCGCGCGCAGCTACTTCCTCCTCCTGCTGCTCGCGCTGCTCCCCAGCTACCTTGTGCGCCGAGCGGCGGCGCAGTCGCAGCCGGCGGACGACACGCAGCTGCTGCTCCAGATCAAGAGCGCGTGGGGCGACCCGCCCGCGCTCGCGGGATGGGACGCCTCGTCCCCACGCGCGCCCTGCGACTGGCCATTCGTCGGGTGCGACGGTACGACCGGGCGCGTCACGAACCTCACGATCGCCAGCGCCGGCGTCGCGGGGCCCTTCCCGGCGGACGCCGTCGGCGGCCTCTCGGCGCTAACCCACCTCGACGTCTCCAACAACAGCATCTCCGGCGCGTTCCCGACCGCGCTCTACCGCTGCGCTTCGCTCCAGTACCTCGACCTGTCCCAGAACAACCTCACCGGTGAGCTGCCCGCGGACATCGGCAGCCTGGGGAAGAGTCTGACCACGCTGCTCCTATACAGCAACGAGTTCAACGGCTCCATCCCGGCGGGTCTCGGCGCGCTGACGAGGCTTCAGACCTTGTGGCTGGCCAAAAACCCGTTCCTTCCGGGCGTGATGCCGGCGTCGTTCAAGAACCTCACCAACCTAGTCAGCCTCTGGGCACAGCAGTGCAACCTCATCGGCGACTTCCCGAGCTCTGTGCTTGAGATGAAGGAGTTGAAGTTGCTGAGCCTGTCCAATAACATGTTGACCGGAAGCATACCTGCGGGTGTTTGGAGCCTGAAGAACTTGCAGCAATTGTTTTTGTACGTCAACAACCTCACCGGCGACGTGGTTGTTAATGACTTGGCCGCGACGAACTTAAGTTTCATCGACCTTTCGGAGAATTATAAGCTTACTGGAGCCATCCCTGAAGTCTTTGGGACCTTGAAGAACCTTACAGATCTGTACCTCTTCAGCAACAACTTCTCTGGCGAGATACCAGCAAGCATCGGCCAGTTGCCGTCACTCAAAATATTCAGGCTTGCCAATAACAGGTTTACTGGCACGCTCCCGCCGGACCTTGGAAAGTACTCAGGCTTGACCATTGTTGAGGCTGATTGCAATGAGCTCACCGGTGCTATCCCTGAAGGGCTGTGCGCCGGAGGCCAGTTCCGGTACCTCACCGCCATGAGCAACCAGTTGAACAGCTCCATCCCTGCAGGCCTCGCAAATTGTACAGCCCTGGAAACGCTGGCTCTAGACAATAACCAGCTCTCCGGCGACGTGCCAGAGGCTCTGTGGACGGCGCCAAAGCTTAATTTCGTCACACTACGGAGTAACCAGCTCTCTGGGAGTCTTCCGGTCACCATGCCCAGCAACCTTGAAACGTTAGCCATGGAGAACAACAAATTCCGTGGCAGCATTCCGGCTACTGCAGTTGCGCTCAAGAAATTCACGGCCGAGAACAACCAGTTCTCCGGTCCAATACCGGCCAGTATTGGTGACGGGATGCCGCAGCTCCTGACACTGGACCTGTCCGGTAACAAGCTCTCCGGCGATATCCCGAGGAGCGTTACTAAGTTCAGCCAGCTGACGCAGATGAACATGAGCAGGAACCAGCTCACCGGGGAGATACCGGCAGAGCTGGGCGCCATGCAGGTGCTCAGCGTCCTTGACCTGTCGTCCAACGAGCTCTCCGGTGCCATACCGCCGGCGCTTGGGAAGCTGCAGCTCACCTCCCTCAACCTGTCCTCCAACCAGCTTAGTGGCCAGGTGCCGGCCGCCCTTGCCATCGCGGCCTACGACAGCAGCTTCCTCGACAACCCCGGCCTCTGCACCGCCGTTGCGGGACACGGGTACCTCGCCGGCGTGCGCTCCTGCGCCGCGGGGTCACAAGACGGAGGTTCTTCCGGAGGCGTCTCGCATGCGCTCCGCACGGGCCTCCTCGTCGCTGGCGCCGCGCTCCTCCTCATCGCCGCGGCCTTCGCCTTCTTCGTGGTCCGCGACATCAGGAAACGGCGCCGCGTCGCGGAGCGGGGCGACTGGAAGATGACGCCTTTCGTCGTGGATCTTGGTTTCGGGGAGGAGTCCATACTCCGGGGGCTGACGGAGGGGAACATCATCGGCCGCGGCGGGTCCGGCCGCGTGTACCGTGTCATCTACACCAACCGGCTCAACGGGAGCGCTGGCGCGGTGGCCGTGAAGCAGATACGGACCGCCGGGAAACTGGACGGGAAGCTGGAGCGCGAGTTCGAGTCGGAGGCTATCATCCTCGGCAACTTGCGGCACAACAACATCGTCAGGCTGCTGTGTTGCCTCTCCGGCGCCGAGTCCAAGCTCCTCGTGTACGACTACATGGAGAACGGGAGCCTGGACAAGTGGCTCCACGGAGACGCTCTCGACGCCTGCGGGCACCCAATGGCGAGGGCGCGGTCCGCACGGCGTGCACCGCTGGACTGGCTGACCAGGTTCAAGGTGGCCGTCGGCGCCGCGCAGGGGCTGTGTTACATGCACCACGAATGCGTGCCGCCCATCGTTCACCGCGACGTCAAGACGAGCAACATCCTGCTGGACTCGGAGTTCCGGGCCAAGGTCGCCGACTTCGGGCTGGCCAGGATGCTGGTGCAGGCCGGGGCGCCAGAAACGATGTCCGCCGTGGCCGGCTCGTTCGGTTACATGGCTCCCGGTAAGGATCCTCATCCGTGCTTGCTTCTTAACGGTCGATCTCTGTCAGATTTTTTTCTAGATTCGGCTGCATAACTGCGGAATAACACTGTAGCAATGTCCCATGTTCTTGTACTGCCGGACCTTAGATTGGAATGCTTATCTGCAGAGTGTGCTTACACAAAGAAGGTGAATGAGAAGGTAGACGTCTACAGCTTCGGCGTCGTGCTCCTGGAGCTCACCACCGGCAAGGAGCCCAACGACGGCGGCGAGCACGGCAGCCTGGCGGGATGGGCACAGCACCACTACCTGTCTGGAGGGAGCATCCCCGATGCCACAGACAAGAGCATAAGATACGCCGGGTACTCCGACGAGATCGAGGTTGTTTTCAGGCTAGGCGTGCTCTGCACCGGAGAGATGCCGTCGTCGCGGCCAACCATGGACGACGTGCTGCAGATCTTACTCAAGTGCAGCGAGCAGACGCACGAGAAGAGCAAAACGGAGCGTGTCCCTGAGTACGAGGAGGATCCACTCCTGCTGCCACAGCGCGGTAGTCGCCGGAAACAGCTCTCCAACGGCACGGGGATTGACATCGAATCGAAGAGCGACTTCGACAGCATTGTCTGAAGAAAGGAACCGACCACCGCACATACCAGTGAGTAAGTTAGGACAGCGTTAATGAACAGCTATAGTGATGCTTCATACTACATTTCAGTAGAGTACAGCAGGGAAATCATGCTTTCAAACTTGTCACCAGATGTTGACTCTAAATTTGTGTTTTGACACTGTAAATTTGTTGCAAGTGACGCACACATTAGATCACTACCGAACAAATAGCAAAGGTTACGATTACAATTTCTTTCTGAAACAAATGCAGGTGTTCTGCACATGCATTCAGAAATTAGTACGATTAATAGAAGAAGATAGAGATATGACGTGTCCCTTCCATCTGGTGAGTGACATGTGATCCCGAGAGCTAAGGATTCGAATGTGATTTTTTTTACTTTTCCTGAGTCAATTAATTAATTCATAGAATTAAAAAAAAAAAAAACAATAAAGTGAAGGGTTGAAACACGTGTGCTTCGGTGTTTATGCGTCCAGCACGACCCTTATATATAATAAATCTTCAGCCACAAGTCATTACACGTTTCCTAGTAGTAAAAAAAGATAGAAGGGCCACATGCATGGCACATAATCGGACGAGCGGGTGCCCGACGCTAGCATTTCACCGCAGTGCTGCCAATCATGTCGTCCTCCCATCTAGCCTATTACTTGTCGTATGTGTTGTTTTTATCGTAAATATATAATACATAACATGTATGCCGTATCTAATTTTTAACAACTTCGGTGTCGCGTCCAAGCCGGTTCTTGTTCTTCTCCCGTCTCTGTGAACTATATGTTATGTATAATATAATAACTATCACTCTCATTTCATGATGCATATGAACAAGATGTGCTAAAAATAAATCCAAGAAATTTTCTCAAAAATCAAAAGCACCTAACCATTGATCTGGTATCCTAAATCAATTACCTCTGTCGTTATTAAAAAAGAAAATAACATCTAAATCTGAATTTAAATTACACAATTCACCATTATGATAGAAAAAGTAAAGTAAACCCTTAGATCTGTATATGAATTAACTATATTTGCTATTTTAACAATCTATGGAACCCGAATATACATTACCTACCTCTATTGTTATTAAAATTAAACTAAAATATTTACTCAAAAAATTTGAAAGATGGGAGTATATCACAAAACAATGAGAATAACTCAGAGCACACCATAAAGCATTTCATGAGTAATATGCAAACAATCCAAAACATAACATGGAACATTTCAGGGTACAATTAATATGTGAACAATCAAAAAATATAGTAGGACATCTCATGGATAATAAAGGAAAAGAAAAGAAAAAAATAAATATGAACAAATCCCGTATTATAGGAAAAGAAAAAAAAAAAAATAAAACAGTGATGACAATAAAAGGATCAAGATACCCAAGAGATGGGTGAATTGGGCTAATTCTAAAATTCTTTGCAATAATTAAACCCTACACTTAGCCCACTTCACCCCTTGTGCCTAGAATGTGTTCCTATTGTTGTACCGCATAAAAGTTTTGCACCCTAGGTTCCAATCTTACTCTAGCATGGCTATTCTAAGAATGTAAAGACAAGAAATGAATTGCTCAAATGTAAATGCTTCAAGTAAAGAGAGAAAAACGAACGCGGCGATGTTTTGCTGAGGTATTGGAGAGTCGCCACTCCCCACTAGTCCTCGTTAGAGCACCCACGCAAGGGTGTAGCTCCCCCTTGATCCGCACAAGGATCAAGTGCTTTCTACGGGCCGATACTTCGACACTCCATCACGGTGAATCATCCACAACCGCTCACAACTTGAGTTGGGTCATCCACAAGCTCCGCCGGATGATCACCAAACTCCCGATCACCACCGAGCCGTCTAAGTGATGACGATCACCAAGAGTAACAAGCACAAACTCTCACTTGACCACAACAAGCCTAATGAGAAGGGTGGATGCACACTTGCTACTATCCTTGCACTAATGAGGCTTTAATCTTGGATTCTCAAATCTCAATCACCTCACTAGGCTCTTGCTCTCATTTGCACTCTCAAGGATGTTTCTCAGCTGAACAAATGGGCAAGAGACCTCCCTTGGATGAGTGGAGTAAGTATTTAAACCCCCTAATTTAAAACATAACGTTTGGAGGCTGAGTCATCACTCTGTGGGGTGATCGGACACTCCGGTCAGGGTAATCGGACACTCTGGTCAGTTATCCCCGCCTAAGAGCCGTTAAGTACTGACCGAACTCTGACCTGCGTCCGGTCAGCACTAACCGAACGCGTTCGGTCACGAAAAACGCTCTCTAAAACCTCACTGATGTTGACCGAACGCTGGCACCCAGAGTCCGGTCACTTCGATGTTCAGCGTCCGGTCAGTTACCGGATCCTGACCAGCGTCCGGTCAGCACTAATCGGACGCGTCCGATCAGGAATCTTCCTCTATGGAACCTCTCTAGAGTTGACCGGACGCAGGCACCCAGCGTCCGGTCACTTTTCACTCAGCGTCCAGTCACAACCAGATGGTTCCAGTTGATCAAATGAACTGATCGGACTCACCCTTCAGCGTCCGGTCACAACCAGACTAGCGTCCGATCAGTCATTTGACCCTCCATTTACTTCCAACTTGAAATCATATGTGAATGAAGTTTTCTCCAATTGATCTTAGGGCTACTCCGGAGCTACCTAGTGCTAGATTTGATAAGTGTGCACCACACCTAACCCACTAGATTCGCCTAGGTCAAGCTACTAGTCCATACCCCCCTTAATAGTACGGCCAAAGGAAAAACAAAGTCCTAAACTACTCTAAGTGTCTCTTCAACACCAACCGACACTTAGAACTAGTCCATCCTTAACCTCGTCGTTCATCCTTTGAAAACCAAAACGATTTCCATCGTAGGGTCATGACAACCATGCTTGCCCAATCAATTGTCATTACCATGACCTAACTTAACTTGCCTCTGCAAAACACACGTTAGTCATGGTAATCTCGTATTGTCATTAATCACCGAAACCCAACTAGGGGCCTAGATGGTTTTAATCTCCCCCTTTTTGGTGATTGATGACAATACAACCTCGAGTATGTAAAAGAGATGAGTGAGGTTTTCAACATGCTTCGATCATATAAGCTTTTGATAATAAGAGCAAAGGAGTTAGATATGCTTATATGACCCAAGCCAACATGGTGTACTCAATAGATATGAATTAAGCAAGAGTACAAGAAGTAAAGCTCATTTGAATTGGAGTAAAAACACGGAAGCAAAGCAAATGAGCATAATAAAGTGACATGACATATATATAAATCAAAGTAGAGAGCACACATGTCACATAAGTATCACAATCACACGTATGTAGTTCAGTGCATGAAAGTAAATGTGAATGCATAATGTATCACACATAAAGAGCCAAAAGTAATAAATCATAAGCTCCCTCTAGAAGTAACGCTCCCCCTAGATCTAACATACTCGATCCCTCTCCCCCCTTTGGCGTCAAACACCAAAACCTAAGGGTCGGACGGCAGGGTAGGAGCAGACGAGTCGGGCACTGAGGTGCGGTGAGAAATCTGGAACTATGCAGCAGCATCCTCTGACCCTGAGCTCTGAGCAGTCTGACCCTCTGTCGCTGGAAGTGAATGTGAAGTGGTCCGGGTCTGCTCAGGAACTTGCGCGGCCTGTGACTCTGGTAGTATCACTGTAGGAGGTGGCTCTGATGATGCAATGGATGACGGGAGCGTCTCAGTAGTCCCAGTAACTGGAGCAACTGTGGTAGGTACAGGGACTCATAACTCTGGCGGTGTAGGCTGCCCTGTAAGCTCACTGAAAGTCGCACCGAGGCTCCTGGAGACTAGGGTGTCAGTCACAAACACTGAGGAACTCTGAGGCAGAGTGAAGCCCGTAACAATAGGAGTGAAGTGAGGACCCTGGGCTGTCACTAGCGAGGCAAACCACTGGGACACCTGCTCTATAGGTGAAGCAAACTGAGTAGCTAGATGTCCTTGACTCTAAAGCCCACTGGGCTATACAGCTGGAGTCACTAAAGTGGTGGCAGGCTGGCCTATCTGAGGTGTAGTCTGTGGAGGAGCGGCCCCGATAGCAGAGAAAACGTGATGCATCAACCCAAGTAACTGTTGCTGGATCATGAGCTGTTGCTGCCTCTAGAACTCATCCTATCGAGCCTAAACCTGTGCAAGTGTAGTTGTGGTCTCCTATGCCTAGCGTGCCTGGTCCTACCTCATCTGCTCAAGTACCGCTAGAAGAGCTAGATCTATCTGCGGTGGCTGTGGTGGTGCTGAGCTGGAGCCACTAGCCTCTCTGTCGTGTGGTCAAGGGGGCATCTAAGGAATAGGCTGGTAGTCATCATCAGAACTATCACTAGGGTCGCTCTCGACCACACCCTCCTGCTGCGCATCTAGCTCCTCCTCCTCTATCGCTGCAATACCCCTGATGATCTCATCCTGCTGGGCTACTATCTCTGGGACCTCTGGGCGATGGCTTTGCTAACGATGTGTCCTCGCACCATTGTGACAGAGCATCCGAGTCATGTTATATGGAGGAAACTCAATAGTGGCACCTGTGTACTCTGCCATCGTCTCTGGAGACTTCTGATTAACTGCCTTTCTAATCAAGAAGGTAATCCAGTGAGCATAAGACAGCTGTCGATGATCTCTGAAACCCTCAGCAGGTGTGTCCTTCATCTCTAAAAGTATGATATCCCAAATATTAAAAACGGTCTGCTGCACCAAAGAATTCACTAACCACAACTGAATGCGAGTCAAACCCTCATGGTAGCCCATCCTCGGGAGCAAAGTCCTCATGATAGCATCAAGAAGCCAAGCTATAGGAGTAAGGTCTCATGGTGTCCTGCTCGACCCCTCGCGCAAATGGCTCTATGAAGCATGGTCGGACAAGATCTGTGGGTGGCACAAGCCCGCCGTGAGGGCATCTGGGAGGCTCTGCCTAACCATAGCAAACCTCGTGAAGGCAAATGGGTGACTCTAGAATCCTAAAAATCTCTCTGACCCTTGAGCTCTAGAGCCTGTAGTCACGGC